AAAAATGATATATTCAGCCTTGCTCTTTGTCACTAGGACTGTTTTGACTCTTCTGGATCTGTCTTGTTTCCAGATGAATTTCAGGACTTTCTGTCTAGTTATATGAAGGATGTCATTAGAGTGCTGATGATGTTGCATTGAATCTATAGGTCATGTGTAGTAACAGGGCCATTATAATAATACTCTGCTGAGAGATAAACATGACAGGTCTCCCCATATTCTACTCTCTTCTTTGGTTTCATTTCTAATGTTGTCCAATTTCAACATAGAATAAAAGTATTTTGGCACTTACTTAGCTTGATCCCTAGGTACTTTCGATTATTTGAGGCTATTATGAAACTGTTTCCCTGATTTCTTTCTCACCTATGTATCTTATTGGTGCACAGAAAATCTACTGATTATTTAAACGTTTATTTGTATTCTGTTGCTTTGCTGAATTTATTACATTCAAATGTATTTAGGTGGAATCCTCATAGCTCTTAGGCTCTTATCAAAGATAATTTGAATTCTTTCTTACTGTTTTTTTTCTATTTGTTTCCTTTTTCCTAATTGCTCTACCTAGGTTATTAAGTTCTATATTGAATAGAAGAGGTGAGAATGGACATCACTGTCTTTTTCCTGGTTTTGTGGAAATGTTTTGAGTTATTCTTCATGCAGATGATGCTGGGTGAGTTTACTGCAAACAGCTTTCAGTATAGTGAGGTATGATCCTTCACTGTCCAGTCTCCTCAGGGCTTTAATTACAAAAGAATGTCGAATTTCAGGCCTTTTCTAGGCTTTTGACAAAGTTCAACAGTCATTCATGTACAAAGTCCTAAGAAAATTGGAATAGATGGCCTCTACTTCAATCTGGTAAAAGTCTTTTATGAAAACCCAACAGCTAACACAATTCCAAATGGGGAAAAACTGAAATCTTTTAATCTTAGATCTGGTACAAGACAAGGATGCCCTATATCACCACTCCTATTCAATATAGTTCTGGAATAATTAGCTACAGTCATTAGACAAGAGAAAGAAATAAAAGGAATAAGAATAGGTAAAGGAGAAGTTAAATTATCACTATTTGCAGATGACATGATACTTTACTTAGAAAACACAAAAAACTCCACCAAGAAGCTATTAGAATTAATAAAGAAATTCAGTAGCATAGCAGGATACAAAGTCAATACCCAAAAGTCAATAGCATTCCTTTACACAGATAACAAACACACTGAGAGGGAAATTAGACAA